GTAGCAGTCCATCATACCTCGGGGTTATTACCGTGTGTTAAAGGGCAGTTACTGTGCTGTGCACTTCAGTCACAATAAGAAAGCATACCAGGAATACACCTCCAGGGGGAAACGGATGCACCTTTTTGACTCCAGGGCAGGCGGGTCTTGGTCAAACTCACTCTGTAGAGATTCCCTGTCCTCATTAAGATACTATACAACAACTTATCACTGCCAAGTTAAAGAGTGCTGTGGCAGAGAACCGTTAAACCTGCACTTTCAAACTGAGTGTCTCAGAAAAGCTGTAAATAAGAAAAATGCACATAAAATATATCATTTAAATGTAGCACAAGAGTTATAATGATAATAGATTTTTTATGACCCTGTGAGTCAAAAATCCTGGAGGTCTGTGTTGTTATGCTCAAAAGCTGTCCTGGATATTGCCATGCACAAGCTCCCACTGCCAGCATCACTGTGTAACTAAAGGCACTGTTATTGTTGTCATGTTGACACAGTCTACATCTCCCCACTGGTGCACATACCTCACACGTATCGTGCTAGATCCCCTGCAAACACTGCTCCCATCGGGAAGCTGCAGCGCAAACTTTATGTGTACACACACACACTCACACACGCTCAGAGTTGGGTTTCCATCATTTCAGAGGACATTTCCTTTACATTTACCCCGTCTATTACCTCTCGCCTGCCCCTGTCACCCCAACATTAAACCAAGTCTGCAGTTAAACTTGGACAATTTGCATTTTTATCCCCAAAAGAGAGACGAGTCCCCACAGTGTGACAGTATAAACACTTATATCTATTGCCCGCCACCCCCCTACACGAGTAACACATGTACACACCCGTACACAGACAAACCAATGCAGCAAATCATTTGTTCACATTCGAGAAAGTTGCTTGTTTACTTGTTTAGTTTTCTCTCTCAGTAAGAACCCAACAAACAAGGTGAGAAATTGGTTACCGCAGCACATCTAACGCTTCTTATGTTTTGGGGTGTTTTTTTGTCTGGTAAGCTGCGCGCTCATTTGTCACAATGTGTTTTGTACAGGCACAAATTACCCTCAATTTCATCTTTTTATTGGTTCCAACTACGGCAAAAGAGACGGTTCTGAATGAAAGATAAAGGAGCCAATTACACGGATACAAACACATCATTAGCCCAATTAGACCCAAGTTTAAATCATGGAAAGCAAAAAAACGCCAAAGATTGTTTTCATGCCAAGTGAACACTCGTTTTCTCCTGAGGCAAAGAGTCAACAGTACAGGTGCAGCTGTTCATCTGCGTTTCCATGGCGCTCTCATTAGGGTTCGTTAACAGTACAGGTGTGGCGGTAATTGTCTCCCACAACCCCGACACACCCAGATGTTACCCACACAGACGCGCACACACACATTTTGCTTTAAGGTGTTTGTGTGAGGCCACTAATAAGGTGCTGGTGGCTCGCCCTGTTAATTTTTCAAGAATTGTCACTTGTTTGTCCATTTTTACATGACTTACCTCAACATAATGATCATTTAACTTTTAACATTTAATAAAGTGCCTGTCTGACCTTTCACATGATAGCCTCATTTATTTATTTTAACGTAAGCCTTGTTTGGAACTCTACATTTGCTTCTGTCATTGTTACTTTATTGCATTTTAAGAATGTTGTTACTTTTCCTGGCATATTTGTAAGTTTTATCCTCGAGCTTTGCATGGTTTGCATTTTATTACCTGTCTTGTGTAACTCTGTTTGAGAAACTATTATTATTGTTACTATCATTTGGAAAATGTGTGCATTAATCTCAATCTTTACCTGCAAGCTCGCAGGACTAGCACACAGATGCTGATTGTTTTAACAGATATTTAAAGAAAACAAAAGTATCCTTTATTGACCACTATTTTAAGTTCCTAGGTTTAGCTTTATGAGCCAATTTCTTTACATAAATTTGAGTAATAATTTGTGGCACAATCACACCTGTAAAAACACGAACGCACCAGGATGTCCAGGCCTGACCAGAAGCAGAGGAACAGATTTATACAAAGGGGCAGTGGGGAATAACGCGGGGCGGTAAACTGTTCGACAGGTTGCTGCTCGGGTCGTTTGAAAGACAATGGGAGCTGAGCCAGAGCAGACAGGCTATTGTGAGGGGAGTGAGGAGGTCACTTTTAGTTAGGCTGCACAGTGACCGCACCTGGTCACCGAGGGGCTCTGGGAATACCGCGAGTCTGGACTCCCGCTCAGCACTACTCCGTGTTGTCTTCCCCTTTTTTCCGTCTCTCTATTTTCTTACACGCAAAAATAACCTTTTGATTATTTTGCAAATTATTTTCACATTTTGCACAATGGCGATCCTCGACTCACCTCGTCCAGCACACCCTCGGCCTCCTCTTCAGTTTTGCCCGGAAACCTAATCCTCATGGCGGTGAGCACTGCCAGCGTCTGACGCACCAGCTCCGCCTCCTGCTCTTTACTCCTCAGATTTATCAACGGATCGCCCTGCAGACACGTAAAGGCAAAGCATTAAAACTCGACAAAGAAACAGCTTTTAATTAATAATATCGTGTAATCGGATGTGTTTATTAGGCCGAAAAAAATCGGGGCCATTACCTGATTATTTATGTCATAATTACTCATTACTTAATGTATTATGTTCTTGAACGTGACGAGAAAATTTGATTTTTGTTTTATTATCACATTTTGAGTTCTTAGGAGTTGCACTTGAATATTACGTTTTTAGCATTTATACATAATGACTAATGTATTTATACTGCTCACATTTTATATATGTTATAAATATATTATTAGTTATTATTTATTTCTATTTGTCACAGTAAATTTAGCTTGAGATTTATGTGCTGCCAGTTTCACCAATACATTTTGCTCCCGCCTGAGTTTCCCTATAAGCTCGGTGAAATGCAGCTCATTATGCTACAGCAGCGTCTTCACTGCTGAACCTGTATTTAGTTTCCTGTGCAGTTGAAACTCGAGTGTGCAAGATGGCGAAAAACTCTGGGTGAAATTAGTGGATCTCATGTCATTTCGTATTCACGTGGAAGGACATCACGTGTTGTGGTGCTTACTGCGGCCTCTTTCAGTATGAAGGCTTTCCACTTTGTTCTGCTCTCAATGCCGAAACTCATTGGGCTCTATTTTATTTGATTCCACTGCATCCAAAGGTTACCGGGGCACTTTAAAAAAGGAAGGGGAATGGAGGAGACAGGTGGAAAGCAACAGATGGCAACATAATGGAAGGTTATTGTTGTGGGCTCCAGCGGGCCTATACAGTATTGACCGGACTGTTTAAACGATACTAAGCGGGTCTGGATACAATATGTCAGGACGGGTGAAAAGGGTAACGATATGATGGAAGACGCACCTCTTTAGTGATAAAGCTGTAGAGTAATTTATAATTTATTTTAATCCTAGCTGGAGTAGTGGATCGGAACATTTCTTGTGACTGACAACTCGCGACATATCCTGAAGTCTATCCCCACTTTGTGTGTGTGCGTTGAGCATCTTACTATATTGGAGTGGATGGTCCCCAGGCTGTTGCTGTGAGGCACCCGGTGAGCGGAGCCGCTGCGGCTCAGCGAATGCGAGCGAAGCGTGGCGGAGCTCGGCCTGACGAGGGGTGTGGCCACGGGAACCGTAGGGGAAGGCCTGGTGGACAATGCCCGCACTTCGTTTGGCGACGACAGGGAGGCGATGGAACGAGGGCACGAGATGGAGCGCCGGATTGGGCCGGAAAGCGACGGTGACGCGGACGGGGCAGTGCTCGTTTTGAGCGACTTGATTGGAGGTTTCCAGTGCATGCGGCCTGTAGAGAAACAGAAGAGATGGAGAGAGTAGAGGGGGAGGAGCTTAGTGACTCACTGTCACACTTCAGTTTCTTCTCTTCAGCCTGTCTCAGTGCCTCCGTCACTGTCAGGCTCTCTTCTCTGGTCTCTATCTGTCTCCGGGTGGCTTTGGAGATGAAGTGTGGCATTAAAACTCCCACAGCTGCACTCTGGCACACTGGCCCAGTGATCCACTGTGTGTGTTATTAACAACCGCAGCATGTGTAGCCAAAACCAGAGACTAAACATTAGTCCTGTCTGGTTTGGGGATGGATTAAAGAGCATGCCTCTGTCTGTCTCACACACACACACACACACACACATTAGATGAACACGTGTATGCAGATGGAAAATGAAGTAGAAAACCCACAGTGACACTTTCTATCACCCTTGAAACTCTTCCAGTTTGTCCACTAGCCAGTGTATTAGTGTGTGCTTTCTGCTGGTGCACTGTGTGTGTGTCTGACATCAAGTGTGCACACAAGTATGGGTGTGTTTGCGTGTGTCCATGTCGCCGCTAACCCTTCTGAGGATCGGCCATTGCCAAATGAGAGCATTATGTGGCTTAGCCGTAGCAGTCCTTTGGTGGCTTGGTATGGAGTAGGGCTTGGCAAGGTTGCCGTCTCTCTCTGCACACACATGCACACACACATGCACACACACATGCACACACACATGCACACACACATGCACACATACATGCACACACACATGCACACACACATCCGTAGACGCTTTGTCCAAAAGTTGGGCTTTTTCATGGCTTTGTCCTTTACTTTGTAACAACCAGAATGAGCTCATGCAAGGGTCCTTTTTTTTATCTGGACTGGCAACCCATAATGCAACCAGGGATTTTTTTCCTTTCTTTCTTTCCAAGGTCGCCACATAGGCTGCAGTGAAAGCTGCTCCCTTTCTCACTTCTGAGAGCTGAAAGTGAGTTGATGTATGCGACTTATGTGAAATTGAGGGAATGCTTGAGACTTATCACTCTAACTATAAAATAGACTATTTCAGCATTAAACTCAAGGTGTTTTCAAGGTGCACAACAAAGTCCTTTTCCTCCTTCTATAAAAATCCCTCCTTCTCTTCATCTCTGCCTCTGCTTTCACCGTCTATTCACTGGAACTGCACTGGTCGGGACACTTTTCTTCCCTCAAGTGCTTTTCAGCGCTGCAGCATTTGTGTGTGTGTAGCTCCGCGATTGTGAGACGTCTTTAGTGTGAGCAGCTCGGCAACAAAGATGCACGTTCGTCAAGTCACAGGCCACGGTCACTCTGCTTAGGCTTTAATTAGACGACGAGAAGGCTGATGAACACCTGTTCTCAGCACTTGCCAACTCAAACCACCAAACCTGACCTGCTTTGTTATTGAAGAGCGTGAACCACAGATGCTAATCAAATCGGCAGTTCTCGGCATTTGTGTGTGTCCGTGTAACTGGAAATGGGAATTTGCAAGTCTAAACGTGTTTTTTCACGTGTTGATAAATTTGAAAGATACACCAGTGGGTGCACTGAGAAGCAAGTTCAACCTAACCAGGCTTTCCTTGGGTTAGCTGGCTTCACAAAACCTAAAATCCCGGTCACCGCCTTAAAAAACTTTGTTAAATTTGTGTGCTCACATAAAAGGGCGAGTTTAACGTGTCACTCGTCTCTTCTCTTGCTAAGTTCTCACCCCGATCTGAGAAATTATGAGAGGAATGGTTGTTAGAGCAAAACATAAAACTACAACACTGTTGCTGCAAATAAGATTAGAGAGTAATGCTGCAGAAATTCACTTCTTTTGATATCGCGATCATCACAGGAGCACCAAGAGCGGTAAAATAAATATACCAACTTGAGTTAATATATTTATTTTAGAGCTCTCGATGCATTTCTAATGCGACAGCTGCACATTAGAGCTCTGCAACTTTAAAGTGCATCCATTTAAACATTAAAGCTTACTCGCTTTGTTTAGCTCTGACACTCTCCTGTGGCCTAATAAAGAAGACGCTAAAATCACTGCAGTGAAATCCATTTCACTGATTGTACAGATATTCTCAGGGATAAAAAACCTACAAATGTATCTGATCAAAGACACATTAGCAGGCTTTGTAGCTTCTTTCCTGATCAGTGATCTATTAGTTGTTATTGGGACACTATGAAACAGCCGAGCATAAAAACATTCATGCATTATGCAAACATTTCTGTGACTGAATGAATGTACGGGACAGTAAAACCGATGTAAAGCACAGTTTCACCTGGTGGTGCTACGGCTCAACAGGTTGCATATATAATAAAAAAACATATTCATATAGCTTAAATGAAACAGCCAGTGAAAAGGTGACACTTGCAGCTGATTTTGAACTGAAACTCTGAACATAATCTTCTCTGGACCAGGTGATGCTTTCAGTATCAGTTACTATGGCGATCTACGAGGTAAAAAGAGAGCCACCTCTCTGAAATCTGTCTTAAAGCTCAATATAGCTCGCTAATCAATTAATCTCTCTGTAGTACATCCCTCAGGCTGCGTATCGTATGTCCTGAAATGCAAAGGTCAGGACACACATGTCAGCTTTGTTATACATTATACATCAGTCCCACTGTATGATTCCAGTCTACATCTCAGTCTCTGTCATAGTCAAAGTAAATCCTGCTGAAATTCAAACACAAAATATTAAAAATGTGCAAATATGTAGGCGTGCGACTGTTCACGTTCACAAATCTCAAAAACAAGGTTGTTTTAGCAATTAGGGTAACGCTCGTAATCAGACGGCTTCAGCTGAAAGAGGAAGAAATAAACAAAGAAAAGAGACGACTGAGAAATGGGGAAGCGAGCGCAGAAGGAAGTAAACAAGGGCAGATAACAGCGCCCTTTCTGTGGCGTTTGCATGTTCTCCTCATGTTTGCGTGGCTTCTCTCCAGGTACTCGGCTTCAGTTAGTGGGGTTAGGTTAAGTGATGATGCTAAACTGCCCATAGGTGTGAATGTGAGTGCAAACAGTTGTCTGTCTCTGTGTGTTAGCCCTGCTGACCTATGACCACGATAAGGACGAGCGGATGGATGGCTGCTGTCTGTATTAAACACACATCCTGCTCCTCTACCTGAGCGCTCAGCCAAGTTCTTCTCCTTGCTCTCGCCAAGGTCGTAGGAAACTTTCTTTTCCCCTCGCTTCTCTCCACTTCTTCTTCCTCCCGCCTTCCTCCTCTCCTCCTCCTCATCTTCGTCTGAAGAGGAGCAGGAGTTATCGGCGCTGCTGCCGCTGGTGAAGTCGGCCAGGTAGTCTGGTCGCTGACGTCTTGGAGTCTGACTGCATTCAGGCATGCCGGTCAGAGGCTGGCAAGAGTGCACAGACACAGGACGTATTTACACTCACGCTATAGAGTAGAGTAGTATCCATACATTCATAATTATACAGGAATGACAGTTCACACATGGATACACACTCTTGCACACATAAACATCTTTGCTTTTATCCTCCTGGGACGCTGCACTGAATTTATTTGCTTTTTAAAACCAAACCATCCAAAATGACCTCATTTTGGGAAAGCGTCCTCCTTCCAAAGGTCTGCGACTCCACCAGAAGCTCACAAGGACAAAAGTGCAACGAGACGCAAACACACACACATAAATATGAAGATGTTGAGACGTTGTCAGCCTCGCCTCACCCAAAGCTCATTACCATCTGTCACTGGGAGACCTGCCGGTGACACGGCCGGCCCGCGTGCCCACACGTGTGCACGTAATTGCAGCCTCATTATGCACAAATACACAATCGCACACCTTCGCTGCTTTCTAAGCTGTCCCTATAAAAAGGAACATGGCTGGCTTCACGCGCAGAACAAATGCGGCCTGATTAGACACGTAAAGGTCGAGTTTAAAGTGAAGCAGGTTTTTGTAAACACTGTAATATTTTTTTCTTTAACTAGTTTAATAAATTAGTTTGTGCAAATGAAAAAGCGAGAGCTCTGCAAACTTTTAAGAGCGCCTTTGACACCAACTTGCTGCTGTAATATCTGCTTCTGTAAGTATTTTCACCTTGCTCTTAAACGCTCAGCTGCGATGCTTGACTTCTCTTGTTGCTTTGGTTTGTTTTACTTTTATTAAATTTAGTGTGTGGGGAAAGGACACACTGAAAGCATTAATAAAGCATTTATACATCTGTTATTCAACAGTCAGCTCGGGCAATGCTGTCAGCCCACCCAAATTAATGGGCAGGAAGTGATCAGGGCTTACACAGCCACTGCTGGGTAGTTGTGTGGGTGAGTGATGGAGGATAGAGACAGAGAGAGATTAAATACATGAGAGGAGAATAAAAGGGAAGATGGGAACATCAGATTGATGGGCTGAGAAATAAAGAGGAGGACAAGGTGAATCTGAGGATGGCAGATACAGAGAGGAGGCACTGAATAGATGGAGAGAAACGGAAATGAACATGGAGAGAAAGGGGCTCTTGACATACAAGAGGACGGAGAGAAAAGGATGCGAGGACAGACGGTGAATAAACAGTGGAGGGTAAAGACAAAGGGAGAGCCCTGAAAGGATGAGATGAGAGAGAAAATGTGTGAAGCGAGGAAGCTCGTGGGAGTGACTGGGTAAAATCAAGTGATGAGCTGAGGAGAGATGCGGCCATCGAGGGTGACACGCTAACTGTGATAAGCTATATGTCAGAATTAGGAGAGTTGGGAGTAAGAAAGAGCAAAGGAAGTCAAGAAGAGGAAAAAGGGGAAGAAAACCCGAGGACCCGCTTCTCTTCTCCACCTTTTGTTCTCTCCTGTTCTCGCCTGAACATTTTTCCCCAGCAATAACAAACCTAGCTTTGTTTCCTTCCCTCAAAAATCCCATTCCTAATCCCTCTGCCTCGCTCCTCTTTTCTGGCTTTCGCACACTCGTCGGTTCAGTTTCACCAGATGGCTCGAGAGCGCTACACCCCAAGGAGCGAATCTATCCGTCACAGCGTTTTCTTCCCCTTCCTCTCGATGTCTCTCTCCGCGCGCTCGCTAACATCGAAATTGACGGGGCCCAAATTAATTTGGACAACAGCGATTGTGTCTGAACAAGTCCTCATTCCAGCTAAGGCCTCTCTAATGTGGCGCTGAACTGCCCTGTCGAGTCCCTAACACGCTCTAAGTGTTCCAGCCAATTTAGCTCTGGGATGAGGGATGGATGTAGATGTGCAGGAAGAGGAAGGGATGGAGAGGTGAAGGGAGGAGAGTGAAGCGAGGTGATGGAGGGAGTAATGTGCTGTCGTGGGAAATCGAGGGGGCGTATAGGTGCATGTGACAGAGAGAAAGAGGAAAAAGGGGGAGATAGACAGAAAGAAAGATAGCAGGGAGAGAGTGAGAGAGACAGCCTGACAGCTCTCCCCTAAGGGAGTTGGGTCTTTTCTTTGGGCCTCTATCTGATTCTTTTCTTTTCTTCCTAACCCGAGACCCCCTCCTCTTTATTTTTCTGAATCACGTCCTGTGTGCTTTCCGTGGGCGTTAGCTCTAGGCATTTGACTACCTGCCACCCTCTTCCCTCCCTCTTCCTGCCTCTGTCACTCTTCTTTGCACATTTTTTTAAGGGCCTCTGATGCATGTGGCCCCTATTCTCCCTATTCTCTCCTAGCTTATGTGTCTTCTCTCTCTCACCCACCTTAGGGCCTCTTTGCCTGGAGGATTTGCCCATCAGCTTCTCGTCGTCCAACTCGCACTGTTCCAGCAGATCCAGGATGTCCTCTTCCTACATAAAGAAAACACGAGATGAGAATATAGCAAAGGTGCTGATTTTGGTAAACAGAGCTTAACGGGGTAGTTAAAACCTCGAGGAGGCACTGATGAAGTTTAATAAGAATGCTTTGATATTTCACACTTTATTGCTTTGAAGTCAAAAGTGTTTTTAAGCAAACTTAAATCATCAAAGAAGAAGAAGAGATGAAAAAGTAACTTCAGAGCCATGCGAGCTTTATCTGGGAGCGTGCGGGGTGAGAAGCGAGGCCCCGGCTCGCTGGCAGCGCTCGTGAAGGCAGCATCATGGCGGTCGCCAGTACACTGAAGCTTTGGCCATTTGGCTATTGCTGAAATGCAGGCAAAGGTGATTAATGTTGCTTCGTGGCTGCGACATAACAAGCTCCCACTTGCTGCTCAAATGCAGATGAAAAGTGATTGTTTTCTCTCAGATAAGCCATCAAGCTGCTTTCGGGGTTTGCGAAAAGGTCAGTGTGCCCCTGGCTCACAGTGTTGGTGAGTGTGTGAACATTTACAGTGGCACGCTTCACTGTCTGGAAGACTTTATGGTAAAGTATGCATCACTGGGTTCATACAGTTTGTAGGTTTTCGCTTTTTTCTGAATGCCATGCGGCTTTTCGGTTCGGTTGTTTTGGCGAATTGTCACTGTGCAGTTATAAAAGCTGCTCAGACGGCTGAGACAGAGCCACGTGCAGATTTACAATTCTTCATCAAAGCCTCGTAATTTCAGAAGCCCAGTAAAAGAAAAAGAAAGGAGAGCTAACAGGTAACTGCTGAGTTATTTAGAGCTTGTGTCCATATATTTTCTCTGGCAGAAAACAGGCAGGACGCTGAGGAGCTCCATCAAACAAAGCCCTCCGTCTCCGTGTGTGGGTTTTGTTTCCATGACAACAATATCCTGACAATATATCGCTGCTCCATGCATTGTCATGTGACAGAGAAGCATCGCTCCTTCGCGTTTTATTATTGAAGCATAAAATGGACACAGCAGGGACAAACTTCTCCTTCGTTGTCTTGGTTATCGGGGTGACTAGTACCGCCTGTATGACACGCTTCCTGAAAGGCGAGAACGCCAGTGCCTTTCTGAAAAGTTCTGAAGTTTTCAACAAGAAGGTCCCGAAGCGTCTGCAGAAAACGTCAGAGCGCTCTGAAAATGACGCCGAGTGCAGGGCTTTCTCCCCAGCCTGCTGCGTTTGCTCTTTCATCATTAGAGCGACTGAAAAAA